GAGAGAGAGAGAGAGAGAGAGAGAGAGAGAGAGAGAGAGAGAGAGACTACGAATTGAATTGAACCTAGGGCCATGAATATGCTAGGTAAGAACTTTACCATTTCTCTATATCCCCATTTCTTTTTTGTATTTTTTATTTTGAGACAGTATCAGTAAGTTGTCCAGGCTAACCTTGAATTTGCTTTATAGTCCAGGCAGATCTTGAATTATTAGTACTCCTGGCTCACTCTCCTAAGTAGCTGGAATTACAGGCCTCTGCCACCAGGTTATGTTAAACCTTGGACAATATACGAGCCAAAAAATAAAAACTAAAAAGTAATATCCTTGACAGCTGAATGCTTTTGAAAATGCCCATAAGTTCATAATAATATTTAATAAGGAATAAGAGTAAAGAGATTACAGAATTAGTTATATTTTGCTTCTTGGACAGTTCTAATGAATATTTAATTTAGCATAGAAATTTAAGCTCTTTAACATTTACATTTGTAGTATGACCAATACATTTAAGTTAGCCTCTGCCTTGTCGTTGTGTTATGTAAATAGGCAGTGCCTGACTTACAGTGTCTAATGGGTGTCCTGGGAACCAAACTTAGATATTTTAGTGTTACAGCAGTACACAAGCAATTTGCATGTAGTAGAAATGGTCTTGGAATTTTGAAGATCTTTCCCCAGTTTTCTAGGAACTTGAACCACAGCTGCTATGTAGACACACAGTCACAGGAGAAACACCTGATAGTATGCAATGAGGTACTGATAAGCTGGACTGCTCCGTAGGCTTTGTGCGTTCAATGCATTTGACTTGGGATATTTGGTACCTATGGTGGACTGGCTGGGGAATAATCTCACTCTAGTGTTACTTGTATTTACAACTTGTATATAAAAGCTGTTTTGACTCTCACTTAAGCCTACAAGAAAACTAGATGTGGGATGGGAGCTTGACATCTCTGCCTTCATTTTGCATCTGCCTCAACATTGGGTCACCTGTTGACATCTTATAGGCACATTAGTTGCTCATGGAGTGTCTGTATAGAGACTGTAACACCTAATTCAGTAGCTCTCAACCTTCCTAATGCTGTGACCCTTTAATACAGTTCCTCATGTTGTAGTGACCCCCAAACACAAAATTATTTTCATTGCTACTTCATAACTGTAATTTTATTACTGTTATGAATCATAATGCAAATATCTGTCTTTTGTGATGGTCTTAGGCAGTTCCTGTGAAAGGGTCAGTCAGGCCCAAAGGGGATGTGACCTACAGGTTTAGAACAGCTTACCTAATTCATTCCATTTCCCTTTAGTACTGAACACACAAAGGTAGGAGTAACTAAATGATTTCACTTTTAATGATTTTCACATTGTCTTATTCCAGACACCCAAAAGACATCTAAAGGTCTCCAATTATTCTTATACCTGTAGCCACCTTTGATTCAACTCCAGGAACAGCAGGGTATCACTGAGGCAGCACCGTGAAGAATGAGAAGTCATTTCCTGAGGTGCAGCTTGTCTCCTGAAACAGTCGTCACTCAAAAAAATAGATCTGTCCGTCAGTCAGTCAGTCAGTCAGTCAGTCAGTCAGTCAGTCAGTCAGTCTCTCTCTCTCTCTCTCTCTCTCTCTCTCTCTCTCTCTCTCTCTCTCTGTCTGTCTCTCTGTCTCTCTCTATCTCTCTACCTATCATCTACCTCTCTATCATGTGTCTGTCTATCAATCAATCAATCTATCTATCTATCTATCATCTATCTATTTGATGTTTATCTGTCTGTATATCACATGCCATGTATGCAGTTGCCCTGGAAATGGAGTTACGAATGGTTTTGAGCCACCTGATGAGGGTGCTGGGAACCAAATCAGGTCTTTTAAAGAGCAAGAGCAGTAAGTGCTCTTAACAGCTGAGCCATCTCTCCAGCAAGAATCACTGCTTTGGACCACCTTGTAAGTAGAGTGTAACATGAATCTTAAATGGTCTTATTAATAAAATTAAATCCAGAGCCAGGTATTGGGTCAGACTGCGAGCTTCTGAGTCCTCATCCAGAATGAATCTCAGCTGAACTGTTGCTCAAAAACCTAAAAGCTTAACCTACCTCATTCCTGGTTTTCATGCCTTATATACCTTTCTGCTTTCTGCCCTCACTTCCTGGGATTAAAGGTGTGAGTCACCATGCCTGGCTGTTTCTAGTTTTGCTTTAAACTCACAGAGATCTGGATGGATCTCTGCCTCCCAAGTGATAGGATTAAAGGCCTGTGTGCCACCATTTTCTGGCCTCTATATCTAGTGGCTGTTCTGTTCTCTGACCCCAGATAAGTTTATTAGGGTGCACAATATTTTGGGGAACACAATACCACCACAATAGAGCTAAGAAAATGATTAAAGATAGACTACTTCTTTCCCAGGGCTACTTGGTTACACATATCTCTTCCACCTTCATCCAGATCTTCACATTTAAATGAAAAGCTCGTGTCTGTACCAGAAAGAACTTGGAGTCAATTGGCTCCTTTATCTATGTATATAGATTCAGTTACATCCACGTTTTACCATTTCTTTTTTTCTGTACTTGGTATCCGAGCCTAGAATGATAGGACTGCTGGAACTGGAACTTCGGTTGTAAGTTCTTGTTCTAGAAGGTTGAGAAACGTATTTACTTTGTGTTTGCTGTGTCTGACTGTGTAGTGTGTTCTTTGCTGTTTTAAGACTGTTGATTTTGGTTTTCAGGAAGCTTTGTATATTTTGGTGTTATTACAAAGGATTTTATATTCTTGCAGTTCTTTCTTCATTTAGACATCTGTGTTTGCTTTCTTGACTTTAAATAAATGTCTCTGGCTCCTACCTGTGGTATAATTTATCTGTTTTACAGTTTCTCTTTTCTTTCATTTTGAAAGCATTATTCATACTTTGCCAGCACATATAATGCATACTTGCTCTTCCTCCACCTTTCTTCTGACTTGGAATCTTAGTCCTTTCACCTGTCTTGAGTGGGTAAAGCCTGCCCACTGCTTGGTGACCTAAGAGGAGCTCCCGAGTGCAGTGCACTCTGGGTTTCTGTAATGGTCAGTCTGAACAGCCTTGAGACTCCCAGAGAAGCCTGGTTGCATTTCTGTTTTACCTTCGTTGACAATGACTTCTTAATATTCCTTTAATTTGTTTGTTTGTTTTGTCTTTTGGTCTGGAGACTCAGGGCACATTTTCTCTCAGTATATTGTTTAAAATTAGGCACAGGTATATGTATGAGCATGTGTGATCTCCAATCCCCATTTTCTCAGTCACTTCCTTTGCATGCCCTGTTACATTAGTTGAATTTTGTTATGGTCATGCCATTCCTCCATGCTCCTGATTATTCATCCAGCTGAATCCATCCTCTCTTGGACACTTTATAATTTAGTGTTTATTTCAAGCATAATCTAGTTGTCAGTTTATTACCAAGGTTTGGTCAACTCTAGTTTCATGTCTTTCTAGGCTTTTTTTCTAGTCTATATGTTTATTTACATTTTCTACTTGAGCTGAAGTGCCATATCTGCAAATTTAATTTCCATGTATTGCACTGGGGTTCAGGTATAGTGTCAGCATTTTTATTTAATTGTATATTTTCTAGAAGAATCGATATCAGCTACAGTAGTTTGATTCTCTTTATATTTGTTCAGACAGGGATGTTAGGTGCATAATTGTGTACTTTTTTTCTTAAGCTATTAGTCGCCCTATTGGGAAAGGACAGGCCCTTGGAAGGGATTGTAGGACTACAGCTTTCCTGGCTTCCTATCCCGAGATGTGTTCTATTGTGTCCATATATATTCTGGCTGTCTAAAATGGAGTCCTCATCAGCATCTCTATGTACTCTGTGAACTTTTAGCCTGTGAGACTAATCCGGCCTTCTTTTAACAAATAAGGTGGGGTTGACTGGAAAGATGGCTAAGGCTGCTCTTCCTGAATACGGGATTTGGTTCCTAGCACTTCCACATGGCTCTCAGCCATCTATCACTCCAATGTTCTCTTCTGACCTCTGAGGGCACTGCACACATGTGGTGCACAGACTTAGTTGGCAAAACACCCAAACACATAAGACGTGGGGTGTGTGTGTGTGTGTGTGTGTGTGTGTGATAACAGTTAAAAGAAAGGAGACCAGGATGAGAGACAGGAAAAGCATGCATGGGAGGGGCTAGAGGTAGGAAAAAGGAAAAAGAATAAGGAAATGAAATTATTATAGTTTCAAATGATAAATTACTGCAAAAAAAACCCATAGCTGTCCTTAGGTATGTCATTCTAGTAGAGAAAAATGCATTGAAATACTATTCTTCATTTTGCCTGGTACCTACTATAATACCTAGGACAAGCAGGCAAAATATTTGTGGAAGTAGAAATGCTAATTTAGTGACAAATTTGATGATCACGATGTGAATTGTTCCCTAGTGACATGTGAGAATAAACTAACAGAAAGTTCATTTCAATTTCACGTCATCTCAATCCAAGTTAAATAAGAACGTTTATTTTCTGAGGTGTATAAGCTGACACCGAGTGTAGTAATAATGTTCTTTATGTTTGATTTTTCAAAACCTAAACTTGAAAAAAAAAATTCATCTTCCTTAAGCTCTGCCACACAATATGAAGTAGATATATAAAAGAAAGTCTTATCTACGTATAGCCTACCAAATGTGATTGAGGCTGTTTAGATGGCACATGGAATGGTTAATAAGAGTTAATGTATAATACCATCAGTCGTGGGTTTTTTTTTTCTTCCTGGTAGCCATACTTCATTATCCCTTGCTCAAAACCTTTGGTTATTGGTGTGCAGCTGTTCTCAGAGAAAGCAAACCTTGCCTCAGCCCTAGGGGACAAACTGAATGGACTAAGTCAGTCATGGGACTTGTGCACCTGACCAGCTAAACAGAGAGAGGTTCACCAGTGACCAGCTCAGCCAAGCAACGTTCGTTTGTTGGGCTTTTTTCTCTTGTGAGAGAAAAACCTCTTCTGCCTCCTTCCCTTTTGTGAGGAAAATAATATGAGACGCTGTGACAAGTTATCTTGAAACAAGGAGACATGCTCAGAGAATAAAGGGCCACCATCTAAAAGTGGTGGCTGAGAAATCTGAGAAATCTTCCTTTTTTTTTTTTGTTTTTTTTTGTTTTTTCGAGACAGGGTTTCTCTGGTAGCTTTGCACCTCTCCTGGAACTCACTTGGTAGCCCAGGCTGGCCTCGAACTCACAGAGATCCGTCTGTCTCTGCCTCCTGAGGGCTGGGATTAATGGCGTGCACCACCGCCCGGCAAAATCTTCCTTAATGATATCAATCACTTGAAATCTTCCAGTTTTGCTGAGTTATGGTAAATACTGTTTCTGACTATGAATTTTTTTTCTTGCAGCTTAAAACACTTGAAATTAATATAAATCGCTTTCTAATTTCAAGAATCTACTGGCTAAACCCACCCTTGAAAGGAAGTTTTCTTGTTTGTTGTTTTCTCAGAACAATCTTTGGAGTGCATCCCTGTGTTTTAAACATACTGTTCCCCTTCTTCCTTTCTCTTGAAAGCTAGGCTTAGTGGAATAAAATGAAAAGGGGGCACATTTTTTTTTTCTACTGGATCAAATGAGCAGCCATTTGGGTGCCCGAAACCCCACATGCTTCAATCCGTCATTGCCCGTTTTTGCTTTTGGGAAAACTTGCTGCTAAGTCAAAAGTGGACACACAGCTGTCAGACATCAGGATGATGTCAGCCATGTTTACTGTGCAGTGCTTAGATTAGGTCCCATGGAGAGTCTGCTAACTGAGTAGGTAGAAAAGATAACAGATGCTTGGGAAACCACCCCTAAAGTATGTGTGCATGTAGGTGAGTGGATCCGTGGGCAGCTGCTACCTCCTGTTGAATGTAATTCTGTTAACATTATTCCTTTCAATAGAGAATGGGCCAAACTCTGTGGTACAGGAACAGCACTTCATTTTACCCCAGGTTTGCTCCTATAAGAGTTGGGGTTCCTGCAGAGAAAGTTAAGCATCCTTGCCCTACAGAGGAAGATACTCACTACATTTGGGTTGCTACTTTTCTGGAATAATTTTCTGTAACAGAAGCCATTCTGCCAGTAGCTATTACAGCAAGCTGCTTGGCTTTATTCTTGGAAGGATTCGACTTTTTTATTAATAAGAAAATCTTTTACAATTATGCTTGGTGGTGTGGGGTAAATGATGACTGCATTTTCTTGCTCAATTCACTGCAGGGTCTGGAGAGAATCTCACTAGGTGCGAGAGGCCATCTTTCCTCTAGAGTCCTTTATTGAGTATAAGATAAGCAGACACATTATGAAATCTAATCTTTTCTGAAGCCTTTGCTTCATGCCATTACAGACATCGTCCTGGACATATTATTGGCCTCTCTAAGCAAAATGTTTCATTTTCCTGGCATTGGACTTCGTAGATTTTTCTCCCAGCTTACATGTGCAGGTGAACAGTGAAAGCAAAGATGTCAGGGAGTTTCAAGCAATTATTTTAGCTCGGTCTAGAAGGAGCAATATTGGAGTGGCCTTTTAGTAGCTGTCTGAATCGATTTTGCTTTCTGTCAGGCTGTGCTGGTTCTCACTTTGCCCATAAGTAGATTTGGTTTGGGGCGGCTCTGTCTCAGCAATAACAGTGCATGATGCCCTCTTTATTTCTCAGAGCTTTATGTCGTAAGAAATTTCTTGATTTTAAATTTTAATTTGACACTTGGAAATGTGTCTGTGTTATCTTAAATAGGAAGAGGTCTGGAACCTCAATTTTGCTTCAACTACCCCCCTCCAGGCTGGGATTCATTGCGTGATGTCTATAAAAACCACTACTCAAATTGGAATGTCTGTGATCATTGAATACAGGTAAACATAATAAGAACAAAATTATAAAGAATTCTATAAATTTAATGACACTTTCCTCAATGCTTTCCAACACTGCTTTTCATTCGTAACTATTACTACAATCTCTCATTATATATTTCATTTATCTGCTTATTTATTATTAATATACTCTACTTTGAGCATAAAATTTGCAAAGGCTAGACCTTGTGTGTTTTTATTACCTCTTATAAATTCCTCATTAAATCTCAGCTGAAAAATAAAACAAAAACATGCACACACATGAGCAATTAAATATTTGGCAGTTAAAAGATAAAGACTTTCACACAGCTTCCATTCCCCTAGTGCTTATGGGATAAAAGAATTATTTGATAAGTGAGTTTATGATTTCCAACTTTACATTGATTGGCTTCATTGGTACAAACAAGACAATATGCATTCAGTAGAAGCGAGACCTCTGATTTTGAATTCTGTGGTTTCTTGGGCTAATAGTCACTACTCTTTAGGCAGTGGGTCCTGGGAGAATGGATCCAATAAATGAGATGGACTAAAGTCTCATGCAAAAGCCAATTTTATTCAGAGCCTCAGACAGTTTATACTCTGAGGGTTAAGAAAGGTCACATGGGACCGGGCAGTGGTGTCACACACCATTAATCTCAGCACTTGGGAGGCAGAGCCAGGTAGATCTCTGTGGGTTGGAGGCCAGCTTGGTCTATAGAGCGAGACCCAGGAAAACTACACAGAGAAACCCTGTCTCGAGAAAACCAAAAAAAGAAAGAAAGAAAGGTCACATGA